CTCTCTCTCTCTCTCTCTCTCTCTCTCTCTCTCTCTCTCTCTCTGTGTGTGTGTGTGTGTGTGTGTGTGTGTGTGTGTGTGTGTGTGTGTGTGAGCATGTGATCTCTCTCTTAAGCCTGCTTTTATGGGAATTCTGGAGTCTCTCTTCAGCAGCTGCAAATTCTGGTGGCATTGTATTCCGTTTTTGTTTCTTAGCTATAATTTAGTACGTTGAGTTGCTTTAATCTAGTTGGCTCTTTTCATTGTTGGTTGACTGTGGTGTTGGTAGTAATTGGCTTAGGATAGTGGTTTTGGTATTATGCATTTTTGGAGGCCTTGCCGCTGGTATCCGAAATAGGACTATAGTACGGGTTTGAACTGTTTTTGGGTGTGGTGTGGTTTTGCTGTGCTTTTCGTACCTGTGCGGTATCCGGTTGGTAGTACTGCTGTTACACCAAGGACTGACCAACCTGGGACTTACCGGCTCAGCCTTTTGCTGTTGAGTGTTTTGTCGCGTAGTTGATACTTTGTAGGGGTAGGAGTATCGTACGTCGGAGTGTTGTGAATTTTGAATTGTTGTTTGGCCCGACCGGGGGTAGGACCCACCTAAACCTCGTAAAGGGCCCGTCGTTGCTTTGTCGTTTCAGGGGCAGATTGTGGGCACCTGGGAGCAAAGGGAACCGAGTAGCACATAAGCAATGACGAGTTATCATTTTGTCTCTTTTCCGGGACCGACGTTGCAGTCGGCATTTCCGGGATGTCGTTCGTGCAACGGAGGCGGGTTGGTGGCGGGAAGGTTTAGTGGGGTGTGTAGGAGGAAGAAACCCCCTGAGGACGATCGTTGGGAGGCGATCAAAACCGGTCGGGGATCCGCTTTTCCGGATTCAATTGATGAATGAAAATAACTCTTTCTATCATTGCTTTGCGGTTTGGTGTGTCAATACGTGATGTGCATGTGTGACGCTGTTTGGTGTGTCAATACATGATGTGCATGTGTGACGCTGTATGAATGAGGTGTATCTCACTGTCAGTATCAAGACCTGTGTAAGCCCGTGTGAATCCACCTGGATTCTGTGCCGGGAGTGTGTGAGCACGTTTGGAGACTGTGGAGATTTTAACCCAGTTGGGTTGACAGTTCGGGAGAAGAGAGGTGACACCTGGGAGATTGCTTGAAGGTAGTAGTATCCAGCATGGCGCATCGGAATGATCGTGACGATGACTACCGGCGTGGCAACTACCGCGAGGAGCGCGATCGGAGGAGTCGCGCATCGAGTCGGAACCGTGACGATGAACCGGAAGATCGGGGAGAGTGGGGACGCGAAGACCACGGAAGGAGTGTGCGTGGACGAGATGGGCGGAGTAACGAGAGCGAGCCGCCACGAAGGCCTCCACCGGTGGTGTGCTTCGGCTGCAAGGTCGTTGGCCACTACTGCAGTGACTGCTGGAGGTTGTGAACCAATCCCGAGACACAAAGGCAAATGGAGGCTGACGGATATCGATGCCCACCTGAATATCAGCGCCGTGGGCGCTCGAGCTCGCCGCAATCCAGCCGTGGCACAGCTGTTAAGCGGTCCCCGTCCGAAGGACCCAAGATCAAGAGCCGTACCGAGGATCTTGAGAGGACCGTTGAAGCCATGAAGGCCTTTGTCGACACCGAGATGGCCCGCCGTGCCGAGAGGGAACGGAAGAAACAGGAGAAGGCAGAGGCCAAGAAACGCGAAGAGGAGGAACGAGCCGCTTTGGAAGCTGCGAAGCGACTGGAAGAAATGAAGAAACAGAGGAGACTGGAGAAGGCGCGGAAGCAAGAAGAAGAACAGGAAGCCATGGCGAAGGCGATTGAAGTGTCGGTCGGACTACGCTTTGGGACTGTAGACGACCGGCTTAAGAATATTGTGAGGGAAGTGCTGTTGGAGAATCAAGCACTGGCGAAGGACAAAGGGAAGGCACCGGAAGCGATCGCATCTACATCTGGCGAGGCGAATGAAAGCGCGATCAAAGTCATCACCAAGAGCACTGAAGGCCTGCAGATGACCGAGAAACGTAAACGCGGTGAAGACGCACCTGTGGGCGACAGTCCACCCGTCGTCACCCCGGCCAAGCGTACCACGAGGAGGGTGAGCATGAGACCTTTGCGTCTAGCCAAGAAGCTGCGGACGCGACCTATGGTGAAGAAGACGAGCCTGCTGCGACTCAATCGCAGAGCTTTGACAGCTGTAAAGACAACGCTCCGGGACTCGACGTTGGAACGCATGCAGTTCCTTGAAGCTACACGTAGGGACTTAATTCCGATACACCATGATGAAATCTGAGCGACTTGCGCCCGGGAGGGTGTACCGTATAAAAACAAGTTACAAGCTATCTTTGACTTGGCGGATCGTCGTGCCGAAGTGAAGTTCGGACCTGAGCAACGGGACACGGCGACGATCGTCGTTGACTCGGAATCTGGCGAAATGTCGAACGAAGACAACAACGAAAGCAACACATGAAACTCGCTGACGAATGAGCAATGGTGTGAGATCGTGGAGAGTGTGATTGACTTTCGGAAGCATCAGACGTATAGTGATTGTAAGGTGGAGAGTGTCTATCGGTTACTCGTGATCTGGCTGGCGTTGAAAGGGGCGATACGTTGGCTCGAGAAGTGCGTCCCTACGTGGTTAGAACTGTTTCGCAAGCAGGGTTTGGATTTCCTCGATTCTGCCGGATGTGTGTACATCATTGCATCACCTGAGTGCAAGTCACAGTACATCGGACAGACCGCCAGGGAACCGAGTATACAATGGAGGGAGCATCGGTCAATATTTGCCACGAGACGCAAGTCGACACACCTCTATCGGTGGTGGGAGTCCTTTGGTGTGGAAACGTACACCTTGATACCGGTGGATTGCTGCGTGGTTGGTGATCTGACTACGCTGGAGGCCTTGTACATTAAGCGTTGGTCACCATTCTTGAACACGGCTGGCAAGAGTAGTAAGGGAAAGCGAAGGTGTCAGAGGGGAAAGATGGAGAGACGACGTGAGATTATCGGAAAGGATATTGACACCGACATAGAGAGGAGGGCGTTACACCCGATCAGTATCTGCGTTGAAGGTAGCGAGCCGACTATCCGAGTGTTTGATCTGCTGGCCGATTTGGAGACACGGGACCAACGCAATCTTCGGATAGTGTCGAGTGGAGGAGATACCTGGTGCTGCACGTGGCGAAAACTGAAGAAAGCCTTCGGAAAGACCCGACTGAAGATTAAGGGCGTACCGAAGTACTTTCGCGAGTGCAAGGAGTCATTCGAAGCTGGTGGAACCTTCGAAATCTGCTACCTGCGGAGGTGGCACCGGAAGGGGAGCAAGTTCAAACCTACCTTGATCGTGCTGCTAAAGAACCCTACTTGCGCCGACTATTGAGTAGAGTAATTCGTGAGAAATTTGGGTTTCACATGTCTGCGGCACTTGTTATCCGTCTGTT